GTAGTTGTCTTTCTCTGTTTGACTTATTTCACATAGCATAATGCCATAAGGTTCATCATGTTGCAACATGGAAGAACTTCACTATTTTTATGGCTACATAATATTTCACTGTAAACATATACTACATTTTTTATCCTTGCATCTTTGATCTTGTTCCTGATCTCAGAGGAAAAGCTTTCAGCCTTTCACCTTTGAGTATGATGTTAGCTGTGGGCTTGTCATATACGGCCTTTATTATGTAGAATTATGTTCTTTCTATATCCAATTTGTTGAGTTTTTAATCATGAAAGGATACTGTTTTTTTAAAAAGCATGTATTCTCTGTATAATGTGTCTATCACTATAGTCATATGGTAGTTCTATTTTACTCTATTAATGTGGTATATCACTTATTGAGTTACAGATGCTGAACAATCCATGGGGATATATTAATATTTCATTTGATCATGGTGTATGATCCTTTTAATGTACTACTAAATTTATTTTGCTAGTATTTTGTTGGAAATTTTTGTATCTATGTACATCAGTGATATCGGTCTATATTTTTTTCCTTAGAGTGTCTTTATCTGACTTTGGTATCAGACTAATGCTAGCCTCACAAAATGAGTGTTAGAATATTACCTCTCTTCAATCTTTAGGAACAGTTTTATAAGGAGTGGCATTAATTCTATCAACATTTACCATTTAAATTTACCAAGGAAGCTGTCTGGTACTCAGTCTTCTTTGTTGTTGTTATTACTGGGAGGTTTTTGTTGTTTTTTTTAAAATTACTGATTCAACCTCCTTACACATTATTGGTCTGATCTTACTTTCTATTTCTTCATGATTCAGTCTTGGTAGATGAGATGACTATTTAACCATAGCAAGTTATCCAATTTTTGGCACATAATTGTTCATAGTAGTCTCTTACGATAATCACCTTTGTATTTCTGTGATATAAGTTGTAATTTTTCATTTATAATTTTATTTATTTGATCACACTGTCCTTTCCCCTTAGTAAGACTAGCTAAGGGTGTTAATTTTGTTTATCTTTCAGAAATACTCACTCTTAGTTTCACTGAGTTTTCTATTATTTTCCTATTCTCTACTTCATTTATTTCTGCTCTGGTCACTGTTATCTCCTTCCTTCTGCTAACTTTGGGATTATTTGTTCATTACCTCATTCCTTTGAGGTGTAAAATTACATTATTTATTTGAGAGCTTTCTTCTTTTCTTAATGTATAGAATTATCTTCTGTCCATCCTGATAGGGATTCTGAGGATTTATCAGTGCTCTTCTATGGATACACCTATTCCATAGTTCTTGCTACCCAAGAGGGCTTGTGTGGGTATACTTAAGATCATCTGCTGTCTCTCTATTCTTCAAAACTAGGCTGGGTGCTGACAGCCTCACTCTTGTTTGCTTTCCCTGGCGTACTGCATGCTGAGGTGCTTTCTGCCCATGCAACAGAGTCTGAGCAGCTGTCAGGGCCAGCTAGCAGTCTGCAAAGGACTGTACTTGCAAATCTCTGGAGGACACAAGAGGAACCAGCCACAGGAATCAGGGCTGTGTGGATGAGTCACATGGAGCACAGGGGGTGACTATGTGCCAGCAGGGGGAATGAGCAGGTCAGGTGTCCTTAGCTGCTCATGGGCAGGCTTCCTGATGGAATCCGTGAAGAAGTTAGTAGGTTCCACCTTCCCTTTGATGCCCTCTAGGAGCCCTAACTGCTGTTCTTCTCGCCCCTCACTGACCCCAGTTATGCAGCACACCTTAGCATTCTGGACGGGACAAGAACAAAGTGAGCTACTTTGGCAGTATCTCTCATAGCCGGGAAGCCAGAAGCTCACTCACAAGCTCTCAGTTTAACCCATGAAAGAAATCATAGGTCAAGAAGGTCTCTTTTGGCACTACACTCCACCTCCTTGAAAGAAGGTGAAACTGCTACTCTGACTCTTCTCAATGTGTCTAATCTTGGATTGTTTTTGTTCCAAAAGTGTGCTTGAACATCTCCACTGGACACCCCGACTTCCCTAAAGTCACTCCTAGGTGAATAATTGTCAGAATTGTGGGTTTGGAGGGGAGGATGGTAGAAAACTCCTATTCCACCATTTTGCTGATGTCACTCCCACAATGAGCTTTAAATGACACAGTCTCCTCTAGAAATAACTTGAAGATGGCTGATAGAATAATATTAATGGTCAAAGTTTAGTTAAATATGCAAAACACAGGCTCTGGGGAAAATGCCTTATAGGCATCATATCATTTTAACCTTCTCAAAACCTTCAAGACAGGTGATCACTTTTTAATCCATGTTGCAGCTGAGAAAGTTACAGCTTAGAATGGTTAACTGCCCACCCAAGGATGCACTCATGGAAATGGCATAGCTGTGAATTCTATCTTAAGCCAAAGCCCATACACTTGACCACTTTACATGAGATTGTAAGAATGGGATTCATTCATTCACTCACTCATTCATGTAATAATTATTTACCAGACATTTATAGTATGTTAGCTTCTGTTCTAGAAATGGGGGAAGATAAATAATTTTCTGTGGACTTACATTTCAATGGTGGAGATAAACAACAATAGTAGAAACTAAATAAATAAGCATTATATTTTCAGATAATAAATATAAAGCAGGAAACTGAAGAAGGCTAAGGAAATACAGTGAAACAGGGGTGGTATTGATATTTGGTAAAAGAGTCAGAAACCATGTAGGCATTTGAGACAGACACAAATGTTGAGTGTTATCATCTCAACCCTGAATATTCAATTGGAAGGAGTGATGCTGCATCTGAAACTCCAATACTTTGGCTACCTGATGTGAAGAGCCAACTCATTGGAAAAGATCCAAATGCTGGGAAAAGACTGAAAGCAAGAGGAGGAGAAAGCAGGAGAGGATGAGACAGTTAGACAGCAGCACCATCTCAATGGACATGACTTTGAGCAAACTCCAGAGGAGAGTGAAGGACAGGGAACCCCGGCATGCTCCAGCCCATGGGGTCACAAAGAGTTGGATGTGACTTAGCAACCGACAACAAACAACATCATCCCTCAGATAGGGGTGAGTCTAATGTGTCTGAGCCACAAGAAGTCATGTGTGGCTACAGAAAAGTGAGAGAGGTTACAAGTAGGGAGTAGTCAGGCTGATAGGCAGGGCCAGATGATATGGAAACTTTGGAGTCTGGCTTTACTTGTAGTCCTATAAGTGGTTTATCCTTAGGAGATTTACTAAGCCTTCCTGGACTGTTCCCTTATTTATAAAATAAGAATGTAAGAGATGTAGGAGCAGGAGACCTGAAAGGTCCTTTCTAGCCTTGACATTCTGTAGGGAGACAGAGCAAATGATGGATGACAAGGAAAAGGTAAAAACTGAATAATGAATCCAGTCACTGAGGGTGGTCACCTTGAATGTCTCCATCTTTTTGCATATGAGTTGATGTGAGCCTTTATAAATACAGCTACTCTTTTCAAATACTGTAGGTTCATCTGATAACCATGTTTGTTTCATGATTCATTAAATAAAAGGAGATAAGCCAAATGCCCCTGACATTCAAATCAAGGAAATTAAAAACATTTGGAAAAATCAATGCAAACCTCTACCACTCTGATGAAATATTTTGATCTGATGAAGGTTCAGTGTGAGACAGTTATTGAATACCTCTATTGAATTGAATTCTTCCAGAAAAAAAATAGCTCCTGGGACTGACTGTTTTGGGTGTAAGTCAAATTATCTTTGAATTAAAATGAGTCAAAATAATCCATGAAATGTCCCATTGAGAACCTAAAGCAAACCTAAATATTAAACCTAAATATACTTCTTGTGATTATTCCTAGTGATACAAACTTTGCTGAAGAAAATACCTTTGGATTTTGTATATGCACAAATAATGCCAAGAGCCAGGCTAGCTTCCCAGGGTGTCCAAGTTCCAGAAAATTTATTCATTCCTTCAAGATACTTACACTCTAGAGAAACCCACAGTCAGGAAATAATTAAATGTATGAATTAAAAGCATGAAAAGGTGCTACAATGAAATAGTATTGTATCAGAGGTGTAAATAATAGGCTGATAAAGCCATTGCACTAATGTCAAGCTGGAGAGGAAGCTAATGGCAGTTAGTGACTAAAAGTAGATGCGAACCCAAGTTTCCTGATTCAGAAGCTATACATCATTTTGCCAAATGAAATGCTAAGAATAGCTAACATTTCCAGACTTCTTATGAACCTGGAATTTATTCAGTGCCAGAAAGCTAACAATACTTGTGTATATTTAATTAAGAGAATGCATTATTTATCAGGATACCAAAAACACCTCCTCAACTAAACTGGATCATTCTGCTTCATTTCTTCAACAACTCCTACGCAATTAAAAACAAAAAAAGCCTACAATGTGTATGTCTCCTATAGAAGTGTATAAATGACAGTAAATGAAAATAAATTCAAAGGATACAAAATATTCCTGGCACATTGTAACTGAGTCTACTTAGATTAAGATATATTCACAGGCAAGTATTTATTAATATAATGTTAAAGTAGAAAAAATAATCCATTAAGCAGCTGAAGCAATTTTGAACAAAGTAGTCATTTGAATGTTTTCTAATTCTATTTTCTTATAACCTCCCATGGAACTCAGACTATAGATGCTTATAATAAGTTTTACCCATTGCAAATAACCAAAAAAAAAAAAAAAAACAAGCTTCTTGCCCTTAAAAAGCTTTTATAAAGCTAAAAAGAATAAGACATTTGACTTTTTTCGCATATCACATGATTATTTAGTTTAGAAACATTCCCATCATCAGCATACCAAAAAAAAAAAAAAATCAACATGTAACCATTTGCAAATGTTAAGCTATTCTAATCATCTGGGAAAATGTGAGTACCTTGGTAACAAAAAATGAGAAGAAAAGAGAAAAAAAAAAGTATCTCTAGAATCAAAGCCTCAAAACAACATTATTAAAGTTTTATCAAAAGATCTGTTACAAATGTCAGCAGTTTGGTTACTACAATGGTTCTCATTAGAATGTGACCTTTCACCTCAAAATCATTCCAAGTAATAAGGGCAAGAATATCTTAACCCTAAAGTTTTCAGTGACTCCCATCGGTCAGGCATGTAAGTTGTCCCTGAAACTAAAACATGTGTGAGTGGGAATGGACTCACTCTTCAGATCATCTATCTCAGCTTCCTAAATCATGATAATTAGAAAGCATGTTCATTTTAGCCATTATAAGTGTAGAACAAAACATTATTAAAAATCTGTGAGCTAAAGTGAGACCACACTTACTAGACCTCTATAGATGCCTAAGCACCTATTCTACCCTATTCTTGAGGATGACGCTCATTGACCTATGAAAGGGAGCATTCAAAAAAACCATTCATTCTTTTTTATGGTTGAGTAGTATTACATTATATGTATGTGTATATATGTATATATATACATATTCTTTGTCTTCTTTATCCATTCATCTGTTGATAGACATTTAGTTTGTTTCCATGTTTTGGCTACTGTGAATTGTATTTTTATGAATACAGGGGTGCATGTATCTTTTTGTAAATCAACTATAGTTCAATTTTTAAAAATTAAAAACTTTTCATTGACTATCACACTCCAACCATATCACAGAACCTATTGTGTGTTTTGCTAACTAATGTCCTCTCCCCCTCTCTCTCTCTGTCCTCCAGCCACAGAAACCACACTTTGCAATATGCCTAAGAGGTTAGGCAAACTCCTCCCACCTCAGTTGTGGAGGTTGATCAGCTCATTCATCTCAGATCTTCATGTCTACTGCACATCCTCTAAGTTCTTAAGAGAGTTCTTAGTTAAGACTAAGCCACCTGTCATCATTGTCTTGTGCAAAAGACTCTTCAAGTTGTACGAAGGGTTTTGCAGGGATCAGGCACTTGTTCCAAACCACGAGAAAAATGAAGACAAATGGAGGAATGAAAGAATCTCTTACATTCACAGGGCATAGGGAAGACACATGTAACCATCTACTGTCAAAGGGAGAGTGTACACTGGTGGCTATAAGCAAAATACTATCAGCACATAAAGAAAAGAACAGGATGGTCAATATAGAGGGCTCTATAGAAGTTCTACATAGAGAGGATCTTGAGTATTAAAGGACATAGATTTTTCTTGATGGAAAAGGAAGAGTAGCATATTCCGAAAGGGACTAAAATAAGTGAGTACATGTTCCCAGTGAATATGTGGAATGGAAATGGTACATAATCAGATAGCATAGCAGAACATAAGTACTACTGGTTGCATGAATGATTATTAGGTAAAGGCTATGGAGCAGTGTGTGAAGGTAAATAACACCTGGAAAGAAGTTGAATATATGGAGAAAAGCTTTGAAGTCTGTGCTAAAAAGAGAAGATTCCATATTGGAAGCAAGAAGAGTCATGAAAAGTTTTTCAGAGTGGAAGGATCCAGATCTATGTTTTAGAGGGGAAATGTGGGAATGCAGAGACGGCAATGGCAACCCACTCCAGTACTCTTGCCTGGAGAATCCCATGGACGGAGGAGCCTGATAGGCTGCAGCCCATGGGGTCATGAAGAGTCAGACACGACTGAGCGACTTCAGTTTCACTTTTCACTTTCATACACTGGAGAAGGAAATGGCAACCCACTCCAGTGTTCTTGCCTGGAGAACCCCAGGGATGGGGCAGCCTGGGGGGCTGCCATCTATGGGGTCGCACAGAGTCGGACACAACCGAAGTGACTTAGCAGCAGCAGCAGCATGTGGGAATGGGTAGGGCAGAAGAGATAGTAAGGGAGATGATTTCAAGAGCTCAGCTACTTTGCATTAAGACTAAATGTGATAAGTAAATGAAACAGAGGCAAACAAGAGGGAGTGGTATTTGATAGGGAATTATGAGGTTAATTACAAAGTCTCTGTGAAAGGATATGGGAGATGCAGACAGGGAGAATAAAAATGTTCTCTTTTCTGAATCATTGGGCTCATACAAAAGCATTCGCTGAGATGAGGAATGCCTGCTGTTCTATAGGAGACATTCTCTCATTCAAACTGTGCAAATGCACAGGTACTTCAGATGATCCCATGGGGAGAAAAATCAGGCCTGGCCTCATGGCACACACTGTCTTATCACCCAAACTTACATCAAGATTTCAAGTCTGAAAATAAATACATTCATAATGATTAAAATGAAAAAAATTCAGTAATATCTGTCACAAACATGGAATTAGATAAGAACTGGAAGGTCACTAGGGGATCAGAATTAGGAAAAGAAAAATGATTTTTCTGTTCATTTTATACCCTTCTGTACTGTTTGAAATTGTTATAATGAATTGAAATTATTAACTTTAAAAATAAAGATTAAATAATAACTAAAAATCCAAAATTCAACAGACCCGAAAACCCAATCTCAAAAGGATTCAGAATATAAAGAGAGTTCATGTACATTGTAAGGATGTCCGAGAGGATGCTTGCTTTCTGTTGTTGCATAAAATACATTTAATGTATTTGTCCTGAAACTTGGTAGAAAATTTCAGAGAGAAAATCCAATTTTCACTATTTTCTCTGCTTGTTATTGAATGTGAGACCCTGAAGACATTCATACTGTCTTTCACATGGACTATATGTTTTTTTTTCTTTTCTTTAAAAGAATACAGACAAACCACATTTTGTTTCCTATAAATCAAGATCCAATTGATTGATATATAATGTCATCCAAACTTGGTATCCTCCTGTGAAGAAGAAACTCAATTTCTGTATGTGTAATTCATTTAAAAAGCCATTACCACAAAGAACCCTTTCCCTATAACTTCTATATTAAAGAGAGACACCTAGGGAATGCTCCAGCAAAAAAATAGCTACATTCCTTGTTTTTTCCCCCCAAGCTCCTCAATAGCAAGGGTCATGAAGTATTATTGGTGAGAGTGCATATTATACACAATTGTTTCCTTATGCCTATTTTACGGACATAAGATTTTATTCTGGAATACTGCAGACCTGACTTCTTCTTCCATGAGCATGCCATTTTTTACTTTTTAATTCACATGTATTTGTTCTGATTATAAAAGTAATGTAAGTTCAAAGTAGAAAGTTTAGAAAATATTTTTACAGTGTGAAGAAAATTTAAAGTACTGAGAAAGGAAGGAAGGATGGAAAGTGGGGAGGGAGGGACAGATGAAGGGAGAGAGGAAAGAAGTAAGAGAGAAAGAAAGAAAAAGCAGCCTTCGATACTCAGAGGCTGACCTACCACTCAATGCTGGCCATGTTATTTTCCTGTTGAATATAAACTATCATACAAAATACCAACCCCAGACAAGATCAGTCTAAGACCATGATAAAATGAGACTAATCAAGGCTACTTCACAATTTTGTCTCAGCACAGATGAGTACAAAGTCACTGTGCCTCCCACAAAATATCAAGCACTCCCTCTTTCATTTAAAATGTATTCTTGCTACTTTTTTACCAATTACATCTCTATCCTCACTCATCTGCCCTCCCTACAGGTAAGATTTATTAAGATGCTCAGCCATAGAACGGCCCCCACTTTCTGACAGCACTTTTGTTTCCTTAGAATCTCCCACAAGTCATCCAACTAAAGCCCAAATTTTGTAATAATCCTTCCTAACACTATCTTGCTAAGACACCCCATGATTCTCCATGGTGTTTGAACTCCTTGGCTGTGACTTATTCAGCTACAGGTACAGTCCCAATGGTCTTTTATTGGCAACACTTGTAATGTTATCACTGCAATATTCTGGTGTATTTCTTCTTTCTTTGCACTGTGACAGATAATAGCTAACAATAACTAACACTGAATACCATGCTCCAGTCACTGTTCTAAGTGATTTACTTACATCACCTAAATTAATTCTCACCACGACCCTGTGCTTGTGTGTGTGCTGTCTCTTTAGTCGTGTCCGACTCTGCAACCCCAAGGACTGTGGCCTGCCAGGCTCTTCTGTCCATGGGATTCTCCAGGCAAGAATACTGGAGTGGGTTGCCATGCCCTCCTCCAGGGAATCTTCCCAACCCAGGGATCGAACTCACATCTCTTGAGTGTCCTGGATTAGTGGGCAGATTCTTTACCACTAGCACCACCTGGGAATTCCAGCTATTGTTCTGAATACTTTATTTACATTACCTAGCTTAATTCTTACCACAACCCTATGAAATAGATATTATTTCTGTTTTAAAGAAGAGAGACAGAAAAGCAAAAATAAATCAGTTACATGTTTTAATTCAAGGATTCATCACAATATTAACATTTTTGGTTGCATAATTTTTTGTTTTTGAGCAGAGTTGTCACGTGCATTACAGAACATTTGCAACACACCTGACCTCTGTCTACTAGATGCCAGAAGCAGGTCCTTCTCTCCCCTAGCTCTACTAACAAAGTCTCTCCAGACATCACACATGTGTCCTGGAGACAGAATCACCCCTGGCTGAGAACACTTGCTTTAAGTGATAAGGATCATACTGCATATAATTTCAATTCTAGGTTTTTTTATTTAAAAATTTATTACAATTATTTCTAAATGTCAACTTGATTTTTAAAAACCATAAATTTTAAAGGGAATAGAAATTTATACACTTTCATTTATTTAAAGATTCCCTACCATGGACTATTTCATTTGTTTTTCATTTGTTGTTATTGAAAATAATTCCCTATGTAATACCTTTGCACACGAATTCTTTTCTATTTCTCTGACTTTGCTCCTTAGACTCATTTATTAGGAAAAGGAATTATGAGGCCTCAAGGTATTTTTATTTTCTTTTTTATTTTCCTTAGAAAAAAAGATATACCCTTTACTTTCATTTTATGCACAAATTTATTCCACTAAAATAAACAAGATATATGCCTCTCTTCCCTGAACAATCTCAGTAAGTTTCATTACTACTCTTTTTGCTGAAATATGTGTTATCTCAATATTTGCTATGTTCAGAGAGTGCCTAATTTGGAACCAGAAAGCCAGCATCCAGACTTAAGTAATCCCAGGTAGCAAAATACAGAGTGAATGGGATTAAATGGCTGGAAGATGAAGCCTAGGAGACTGTGACCAAGCTTATGAACAATCTTTCATGCCAGATGCAATGGGTTGAATGGGGTCCCTTACAATTCATGTCTATCCAGAACT